ACGGGCTGTATCCCATCCGTCACGGAAATCATCCTGGCAGGAAAGCAACCCCACATGACTTGTGAGATCAATAAGCAGACTGCACACCTCCGGAGGCACTTGTTTACTCACGGAAAGCTTAGCTCCTCCTCAGAACTCACAAAGATGGGCTCACACCAATATTCCGGACCTATATTCTCTGCTAAACAACAACATCGCGTGGCAGACGGTAGGCAGGGAGAATCCCCCTGGGGAGGGCTTTGAGAGCCGGCAGCAAACTCGACTGAACGCCCAGGAGCCTGCAGCTGGAAGAATGAGTCTCCCTCCTGTCCCGGCAGGATGCTGCATTGCAGGGCACATGCTTTACGTGAGTCCTGGCAAGGGAGGTACAGCACCGCAGAGAAAAGGGGCTCGCGCACCTGTGTGAGGACCACGCTGGCATGAGTGAGGGCTGCAGCCATGGCAGCTTCTTCTCGTTCCTTCAGCTCCTTTCTCAGGGCCTTGATCTCACTGAGAAAATGGCTCCGCTCTCCCTTGTCTTGAGCCTTTTTGGTTTTTGCCTAAAAAAAATAGAAAAATCAAGATAGAGAAAACTGTTTCTAGTCCTGGGGATATGCTCAGCTTCTTGGAACACCAAAGAACCCAGATACAGCACAGCTTCTCTGTGTCCACAGTGAAACCTCAGCTCATCGTAACCAGCCCAGGAAGCCTCGGCTTCTCTTCCCTCTCCCTGCCAGAAAGCCCCTTCCACAATCAGTGTTGCTTGAAGCATACAGAGTGTTTCTGCCTGTGCTGTATCAGTACAGCCCCAGGCTCTGAGGGAATATCGCCGCCGTTCGGACTGCCAGGGAGCATCAGGAGGAACACCATCACTCGGGGTCCAGACAGCAATTTCTCAGTCCCTGCTTACACTCCTCTGCCTGCACATTTTGACAGTCTTGAATTGTGAGTGGGAAGTGTTGAAGAGTGACTCCCTGCCCTTAAATCCTCTGTGCAGCCGCTCCTGCTCTGCCCTGTACTTTCCCAACGCCCCAGAGATCAGCAGCCGGCCAAGTCTGTGCACTTGTCAAAGCATCTGGGCACAAAGCAGGGAGTAATGTACAACGGTGATGAGGCTTGATGGGAAGAAGGGTCTTGTGCCTTTGCTGGGTGGGGATCCAGGATTCCCATCTCCTTCTGCTCCGTGGCTCTGGGGAAGCAGGACCCTCTGGCTCCAAGTGCCCTTGAAGCAGGAGGGCTCCCCAGGTTGACCGCGCCGTGTCCGGCCAAAGCGGCGGCTTTGCATTTTAAAAAGGCGTCTCTGAGTTGCTGTAAATGATTCAGAGCAATATCTAGACAGGCTCGTGGGTTTTTTTTGCAATGCCTATTAAATACATCTAACACATCAAATCATCACCACTGGTTGCTGGTGCCTCCCCAGCTACAGACCCGCAGCTACGAGGCAACGGCCAAGCTCCTTCACTGCAAGTCACCTTGAGAGAGCTGAGAAAGCTACCCACAGCCTCTGATGGAAATTGGGATTATATCCTTGGAGGTAAGGCTGATGACCTGAGAGAGCTGACAAAGCTGCAGACAGAAGCTTTTATAAGCAGCCAAACCAATACGACCCAATGGTTCCTATAATCCCCCTGCGTATGGACGGATTCTCCAGCGTCTGACACGGCTCAGCTCGCACTGCAGCCTCATGGGTCTTGCTCCTCTGCTCTGCCACCTGTTTTGGTTCAACCTGTAGGTATTTAATACCGGTGAGAGCTCTCCGTGTCTGTCAAGTGTAGCCAGAATCGGCTGAGGGGCTCAGGAGGAGGGATCACAGACAGACACACAGCCAACGCGATCCCAGAGGCACCTTGTCCTTCGCTCGCTCTAACGGGACAGGGTGGGCGCCAGTCCTGATGGTCACTGCGCTGGAGGGACAGAGCAGAGCAGCACTCGCTGTCTGCCTGCTAGGAACAGAGGAAGGTTAGACAGCGAACTGATGGTGTCAGTAGGGCCAAGTGTAATGTCTGTGCTGCACGATAGACCCAGTTGGTAAATTAACAACAGGAACTGTTCTCTGGTGCTTGTGGTGACACTAAAGTCCACACATCCACCACACTCCCAGCTCTGGAAGCAGTCAAGGGAGCAGGGAGCCCTGTCCAGAGGTACCAGAGTCTGTCAGCCCCAAATACTGCTTGACAGAGTGAGCCTGGATCCCACCCACGCCTTGTTAGGGCTCTGTGGGTGCCAGCAGGCTCTAATTGTAATGACCTGCCTCGTTTGGCCCCCACCCACCCACTCACTGGTCTGGGAGCTGCATTTAAGGGCAGACCTTGCTTTTTCCAACCCCCTATAGGGTCTGGTTTCTGTCCTAGGCTGCCTGCAGACCTGGAATCCTGTCTGACCCTGCTCAACGTCACCGGACCTGTGCTCCCGTCCTTGCTCAGGTGCTATGGGGCTGTGCCTTTGTCGATGCAAAGAGCCTCTAGAAGCTGAGGTCCTGCGAAGCTTGAAGCCTGACCACGTGAGGGAAGGAGACAAAAATGGGTAGAAAGTGTGCAAAGAGAGCCTGGGTTTTTGTTTACATTACCAGTTCTCCTGGGGGTAGGGGTAGTGGTGAAGGAAAGGAGTGAGAAGAGTCAAAATCTGGAGTAGACAAAGGGAGGAATTATTCCAGGGGCAAGCAGGGGACATTGCAGGGGAGCAACTGAGGCAGGATGAGGGAGGGATGGGACCCCAGAGGTGAGCTCTCTCCGGCCCTGAGAAAGAAAGAAAGAGATGCCAATGTGGGCAGCTCACGGCATTGCTCTGCACGCTGCACTGCAGCAGTGTGTTAGCTCTTGGGTTTTTGTTTGGTATTTCGGGGCAGAACAAGCACTGGTGGCCAGTCCCTACCCCATCACCACGTACCCTGTGCTCTAGGGAGGAAGCAGATGGAGATCTTAGTGATGAAGGCTCTGCTTTCTCCCTCATTTCCCTTCTGCTATGGAAAATCAACAGTGCAAAAAAAAACCTCCTCTCGTCTTTCAAAGTGCCTCCCAAGGAGAGGAAAGGGAAATTTAACCACAAGTGAGAAAGACACAAAATAAATTAAGAAGCAAAAGACTCAGTGTGGAGCTGTGACTACAGCCAGGTCTCCATCCTGGAGGATCAGCGCATCCCCTTTGTGAACTTGTCTCTCAGCTACAAGTACGGCTTCACCTAGCCCTCAGCTGCCCTCTCCTTCCCTTCCGTGCAGGAACAACTCACCTGCCAAGTGACTTCCCCAGCCACCCAGCAGCGGAAGCACCGGATGGTGCATAACCACATTTAGGAGAACTGGAGCTGCTGCTGCAGTGGTGGCTGCAGATTAATGTCCCTGGAGCTGAAAGCCATGATTGGTCTCCATCATTTAAAAAGCAAACGTGCAGTGCCTCACTGAAGGGCAGGGTAACAGACTTGGGCAAGTATGACACAGCATGTGTGCAGGGGTATGAAGATGCCCTCCTGCATCTCTGATCGAGACAGGATCTCTCTTGAGCCGAGGCATCTGCAAAATGGACAATGCCACCAGAAGGGGAGCTGAAAAAATCCCTCATTAGTATCAAAACCTATCATCTCAAGTAAAAGAGCTACTTTGTAAATTAAGTTTAGGAAAATTAGGTTGTGAAAGAAGAAATTAAGGATCCATTTTTATGATGTACTCTGCTTTCTACTTGAGGTGGCTGAGAGTGGGAGGGAGTGTCAGGACAGCCAGACATCTTGTTAGGAAGTGAATTAATGATGTGAATGTGCAATCCTCTTCACCAGAGAGCAAGAGAAACAAACAATGCCAGATAATCTGGAGAGCAGGGCACTGCAGCGTCCCCCCACGCAGCAGTAATGACTGTGATTTTGCCACTTCCCTGAGGTGTTCAGCTAGGAGGAGTTCTGCCCTCCGCTCCTTCTGCACCAGACGATGATGAGCTGGTGGCAGGCAGCTGAGGAGGCTCAGGCAGCCCCTGGCAGAGAGCTCTCTGCGAGACACCTTTTCAGGCTGGAAGCCTTCCCCATCTCTAAAATTTTCAGGCTTGCACCCCAGCTCCTTCCAGGCCGGGGTAAAAGCCTCCCAATGGGGGTAAATGGGATGAATCCAGGCCACCTGCATCTCCGACTGTCCCTGCCAGTCCCCTGCACGAGGCTATTTTTCCTTTCCTCTCTCCTGAAGCTGCCTTTCTACTGCTGACTGATCACAAAGAGAGGCTTGTGCCCACCAGCACTTTACCTCTGCCTGTACACAGTAAGATCCAGACTGGGAGCATCCCTCTTGGCTCATGGTGCCCTGAACCCACAGGTGCAGGCTGGCTGCACACTGCCCATGGCTCACATTGGGACTAGTCACTGTGACTTCCCTCTAGCCACAGATTTTGGGGCAACCCAGAGGACCTGGCTGTAGTGATTGTCTTCTAACAATGTGCAAGAGGTGGCAGAGCTATCAGTTAGTTTTAGAGACAAACAGCTTGCCTGGCTAGCAGATCAGGCGCTGCTAATCTAGAGAGCTGGCATTCCGGTAACCCACCCGTGGCGTGCTGCGGGGACACGTACAAAGGCCTGGTCGATGTCCTTCCTGATATCCGCCACTATCTGGGCGTTGTCGCCGCGGGCCAGGACGGCGTCCAAGGAGTGCTGTTGGATGGGCTCCAGCAGGCGAGCAGGGTGGCCGAGCCGCAGGATGCGGGAGCCCAGCCTCTCCACCAGGTTATCCACGGCAACGTTGGACGGGGCACAGCACAGGACCTGCACGGGGAGAAACCAAGCGCTGCCACTGCCAAGGACACAAAACACTGGAACAACAGCGTCCAAGCAGGAAGACACTCGGCAGAGGGAGGGAGACCAACACATCTCTTGGGGATAAACCACTGACACTTCCCCAGCCTCCAGACACCAAAGGCAACTCTCCCCTGCTTTGAAGCACAGGGTCTTCAATGAACACCAAACCTGAGCTTTGAAGTTTCTGTTTGCCCCTAATTTCAGCTGACAGGGATGCTCCCTGGTCCTTGCAAGCCAACCCAGACTGCAGTGTAGCATGACTGCTACTGGACCTGCTCCAGCTGCCACAAAGCCCCATGAGTTTGCAAAATAAACCCAGGGATCGCTGTCACTACAGTCCTGCCACTGCCACTCACCTTCAGGCCTTGCTGCACAGCTTGCAAGATGATCTCCACCAGCGTTGTGGTCTTCCCCGTGCCAGGTGGTCCATGGACGATGGCAAGCTCCCTCTGTGCCAGCGAGAAGGAGACAGCCTCCCTCTGCGACGCATCCAGTGAGTTGTTGTAAAGCTTCAGAGGCTCTGGGGAGACAGCAGAAGATTCACTTGGACCTCAGCCCCAACTTGGGTGCTTGCTGAGAAGCACAAATCCATGAATACAAATAAGCAGCTCTCAGCAGCTAGCCCAAATCAATCTGATAATGAGAATAACCTTCTGGGGAGGGAGGTACACTGTGTACTACCTAGGTGGCTAAAAGACTCCAGACTGGTAAAAATAAGGCTCGTTATGCTTTGAAAACGAACAGGCTGCCCATCCTGCATCTGTCTTCCCCCTGCTCTCCCCGACGCTGCTGTTTTGCAGAAGGAGCAAGCGTTCCATTGTGAACGCAGCCAGTCTGTATTTGAGCTCTTCAGCACTTAAAGGCGGATTTACTCGCATTGAACGTGCAGGATCTCCTGGGTGTTGGAGGGTGCTCAGGGTTTATTTTAAAGGTGAGCCCGCATGTTTAGTAAACCCTCAGTAAAGGGAGGAATGGAAGTAGCTGATCTTGCAAACAAATCGCTCCCGTTCCAGTTACAAACCCAACACAGCACTAGTGATAACGCAGCAGAAAAAACCACTGCATCTGCGCGAGGAAAAGAGCAGTCCTGTATTGTTCAACAGTGACTGGAAAGGAAGGCAGGAAAAAGATAAAAATCAGCAATATAAGTGCTGAACACTAGAATGAGTTTGGGCTTTAATGATCAGAAAGGAAAAAGCATATGGAAATTGCATTACAAGAGAATCTGTTTCACTGCAGAAGACCAAATTCTCACAAGCTGCTTTTTACCCCCTAGATTTAGCTAATTTAAACACATATTTATCCTTATCTCCTGTAATCCTGCTGCTAATCTCCTTCTTCATTATGGAAGTTAATTACAGCAGAGATGATGACTCATTACACTGAGGTTTACCGAAAATAATGTTCCCATGAAAGCTTATGTAAGACAATCTCTGGGCAGCGTTCCCTGCCGGGCATCATGTGCTTTATCTCCATCTTTGCATTAAGGGCTTGATTAAAAGCGTGAAAGTTTTTCTCCTGGTTTTAGGCAGGTTAACTCGTCTGCAACTCCCCTGTAACCTCTGGCACCGACTTTTGAAGCAGCATGACGAATTGAGGCATCTGGGTTAAACAAGGTTTGCTAAAGAGACGCTTGGTGAGGAGAGAGGAACAGGGCTCACGGTGCTTTCTCCTGTTAACCTGCCTCTTGCTTTCTTTCTAATTTTTGAGTCGGTGTGCTAACGACTGAGAGAAAACTAGGAAGCATCCCATGGGCTGGGGAACAAGAAAGAATAGCTTAAAAACCAAAAGGCATTTCCCACGATGGGGAACAGCCAGGAGGTAGGAGTCATTGATATTTCCTTGCTGAAGGAATGAGATCAGACGCAGGCTCCTCCACGCGCATGCCCGCCCTCTTCCCTTTTCATCGCACGCTGCCAAGAGCCGCTGTGTGGGCAGGCTGGGAAGCATGCCCAGCCCAGAACAGAGGCACAAGAGTGGTGGGGAGGGGGGCAGAGCCTTCTAAGGGGTGCTGGGGGGCCTCTGAACCCTTCTTTCTCCACCAGCTGGGCTCAAAGGAGGCTCACCTGAAGAAATGCAGGACCAAGAGCGCTTGATGAGCAATTGGTTTAGAATGTGCACAGATGCTCCCAGAAGACACCCACTGACCCAGCTCTAGCCCTGTGGCACCAGCTCTGCCCAAAGCCATCCATCTCAGCCCCCTCGAGGCAGACCGCAGAGGCGATGAAGGTCAATCTGCATCCTGGGGCCTGGCAGGGTCTCGCTGGTGGTCGGATAACTCAGCCCCTGATGCACAACCTGATTTATGAGTCTAGCACTGAACAAACAAATCACCTTGGCCACCACAGTTGGTCCTCCAACAACACTTCCAAGAGCTGAGACCCTTTTTTTGCACAATCCCAGCAGTTCAGGTGAAGAAGGGGGTTGGAGGGTGATCCTCGAGTCCAGGAGAGGGGTTCCTGCACCAAACACGGATGGGAACAGCCCCTCCCAAGAGGAAGAGCTGAAGTTCTCCAGAGCTGGAGGCCTCTCACTTCTCAATGTACCTGTCAGAGCATATTCCTCATCACTGGTGTGCACAGGCACCAGGAGCACACCAGACCCCGTGGCCAGCTCCTCTCCAGTACAACCCCACTGCGGCCAACACTGGACAGAACCCAGGTGGGGAACGAAGCCTGAAAGGAGGAACTGTCCCTGCTCTCCCTATGGAGCAGTTTATGAGACAGCTCTGAGTTGTTGGGACTGCTCAGTGCTCCCAAGGATCTCAGGGGCCTCTTCATGGCCTCTGGTGACAAGAGGTGTCACACAGCAGAGGGACAAGGAGCAGTGAGGATTTCTGTGAGTGACTTGTGCATGGCCAAGGAAGTTTTGCTGGCAGTTCCTGGTGCTTCCCCGGTGTTCTCCCTGCTGGGTTGGCTGTCACTGGGGACAGCCCCAACTTTTAACTAGGATTTTTTTCTTCTTTCTCTCTTTGCAAATGTCTTTTTACAGCAATAGGCATAATTATCTACAAAGCCATGCCTTCTGCACTTGCATGAGCAATGAGCCAGACAGTGTCTGGGCACAGTGATGAACACCGCTCACCTTTTCTAGACCAGGAATACAGGAGAGAGCTGGTGGCTCGGAGTGATCAGCACAGGATTCCTCCTACAATCAGGCAAAATCTTATTTCTGTAAGGAAAGGGAATGTGTCCACACAGCAAGCGGAGCAATGCTGGCCTCTGCTGGCAAGCACAGCCTCTCCATATGTCCACAGCAACGTATGGGTGCAGGGATCCCTGCGTGTATGCTGCGAGACTGCAGCGGTGGGCAGGGAAGGGTTTCTTGTAGGAGATCTCTGGTGTGAAAGTGCTAAATGCTTCTGGGACGTGAGTGCAGGTCCAAGTGGAGGGGAGCCAAGCAGAGCACTTCTTACGGATGGGCTTCTGAATTTCCCTTCCCAGGGAGTCTGACAAGAGCAGAAACCCTGTTCAGGTCAGAGTTTGCCTTTTGGAAAGCTTACTTTCCCTCTTGGTGCCTTTCTGGAGGCAGCAAGGTAAGGGCTGGAGATGTTTTGTGGTGGGGACCAGTCCCATTCTTAGCTGCAGATCCCATCCTTTCGGCTGCTCCCCAGGTTATTCTTCCCAGAGCCTGTCTCATGGGTTTGTGTTATGCCAAGGCTGTTTATTCAGAGCTGTATTTTGAAGGGACTTGGGTCGGGTGTGCAGTGCTACAGGTAACACCTCAACCTGTGCACAACCCCAGCAGCTCGGGAGATGAAAAGCACAGGTTCAGTGCACGACTCCAGCGAGCACAATCCTTCCGGCCACGCAGGGCTGCGGGTTCCTGAGAGGGCACTGACATCTTTCACCATCTCCAGCAGTGTTTCAGCTACGCCCTTTGTGTAGGAGAGAGCCTCCAGCACACCCCTGCTGCTCACCAGCCGACGGGCAGCTGCCAACTTCCCAAATCAAACCTGAAGCCCTGGGCTGTCCCTCATGGTTCAGGTCCCAAAACATTTATCAGGCCTGTCCCTGCTCTGCCCTGAGCCTGAACGTGCTCCTGGATGGACTCAGAGGGGCAGCCCAAGCTCTTGTAGCAGCGATGGTGTGAGAACCCAGCAGCTATGAGGTTTCCTGCTGCCTGTAAAGACCAGGGGATGAGAAGCCTGGTACAAACTAACTTCAGGCTGCTTCGGGTCCAAAGCCTGGCATTTTTTTCCCCAGTTACTGATAACCATCTTACACAAGCTCACTCCTAAAAAATGTGCTCCAGGACATTGTTCCAGTGGGAGTCTCTGCCTGTACCTGTTACTACTGGGAGGGATTCATCCTGAGTGGGGAGTAGGATTTTCCTGACACCGTGGGAAACAGCTGTGTGCAAATCGGCACAGCAACAGCAACTCCGGCAGCCACCAGGAGCTGGGGAAAAGGGCACTAAATCCTCTTTGTCATTATTACCCTTCTGTGCATACTGATGTTTTTTTTTAGTAAGCCAATATCACGTGCTTGTCAGACACCAGCCACACCAGCTACTTCAAAACCATGTTTCTGTTGGCTTTACCGGACTCCTTGGACGCTTAATCAGCTAGCGACTGGATTTAGGCACCCTCCTGGGGTGACACAGACTTTAATATAGATCCTGTGGGCATGGCCTTTGGCAGCCTGCTCTCCCAAGATAACCCTGGCAGCTGCGATCCAGTCAGGAGAAGATCACAGAAAAAAAAAAAAAGCAACTAAAAGCTATTCAGCAGATAAGCCACAAAGCTCATGTCATTCTATCTGGGTATGCCCTGAAGAGACCCTTTTGGGGGAAAAACCAGGCTTTTCCCTTTTCCCTCCAGATTATGAGGCTCCGTGTTGGGAAACAGCCACCAGCAGGAAGCACTGGCAGAGCAGAGCCGCACCAAGACCCACTGGTTTTGCTGGAAAGAAGAACCGCGTCTCGCCGCTTTCAGTGGCACTGGTGAATGTTCTGTGTTCCAACCCTGCACTGTGTACTCCCGACCGAGCGGCTCCAGCCTGCTTGCTTGAGGACATGAAGCTCGCACAGACTTGCTGTCATGTGTTGTCCTTTCAGTCCACGCCCCCGTAGCACCTGAACCTGCTGGCCAGTTTCATCAATTTGATATCAAGTGCCCACATTGCTTTATGAAAACGCACAGGGGCATCAGAGCCCACCCAAAAGCCCTGAGACTCCCACACTTGAAAAATGAGGCTTCTAATTTTTTCCCCACACTTAAAAAAATTAGATTTAGGAGCCTGCTGCTGCACATACAAGCAGCAGCCTGAAATGCTGAGAGCTTTTGCTATCCTTCCACATCAGAGCACGCACCCAGGGAACACGTGCTGCCTTCTGCAGAGCCCATGCGTGTGTGAGTTTCTGTGCTACCTGCAGAGACACCCCCCATGTCCTACAGTGTAGGGGACACCTGGGGACCTGCACCTGCCATCGTATAAGCACAAATGACAGGATCTATCCTGCTGGCTGTTCAGTGCCCTCCTGTTCAACTCAGTGGAGGCTGGCCGTTCCAGGCACCTTGCAGGACCGATTGAAAGTCATGATTGTTTGATTCCTGGCTAGTGTGACATCCTTCTAGCTGGGGAGAAAGGAGCTGTAATGTGACAAGGTAAACGGAAGGCCCTTCCACCCTGCCGGAGCATTTTGCTGCTCTCAGGTGATATGCTGCCTTCTCATATTGCATCTCCTCTGCCTGTCTGATGTGGCTGAATGTTTCCATCAGTCAGTGCTCTTGGGGCTGGGGAGATGTAAACTCCATCTCTCTGCTCAGTTCGGCACATCTGAGCAATTTGGTGAAAAATAATTTTTCTTCATTAGAGAGGCGGCTCTGCTACTAGAAGGGAAAAGGCAGAGCTGAAGCTGCTAAGAAAGTTCATTAAAATTTAATTCTTTTATCTAATATTAAAAACCTGAGCACACCAAGGCCCCTGGGTAGCCAAAAGGCGAAGAGGTTTGTCTCAGCCTAAGCTCAGTGCTTACCACTATGGAGACAGGACTCACACTAACATGAACTCTTCATCCCAGGAAGCCCAGCCTGAAGGCAGACTGCAGGGGAACGGGAGCGTGTCTGAAAAAGGCAAACTACTGTGGACAGCCAGATTCTGAGATCACAGTCAGAGAAAAGCTGCACCAGCGAGCACAGAGCACAAGGAGCTGTGGCGGGGAGGAAACCCAGCAGACCCTGGCCAACCAGGAACCAGGCAGGGATGGGTGGCGTCACCCGCAGCACGCGGCCATGGTGAGAGGAAAGACCTGAGCTCTCCACGGCTTAGATGCTTAGATACCGGCTGCCAGCCCCATCCTCCTGGGCAGCTTAACCCACCCTCTGCCTTCATCCCCTCATGTTTGCAGTTCAGCTGATGCTTCCCTTCTGTCGAGGGGTAATATTTGTTAGCAGTTGCTGAGCACTCGGATGTTCTGCTGATCAGAGGCTCTGGTTTCCCCATGGTTTTTCTGAAAGGGTAAGCTGTGTAATTTCATCTTTTATTTTTCCAAAGACTTGCATCAAAAAAGAATTGAGTAGAAGGGGATTCTACTTATATGCAATTTTTTTTGACAGCTGGTGGTAAAACCAAGTTGTGAGGTTTTAAGTATTTGATGAAACCAAAGCAGCCTGCACATCTCCAGCTTGACTGAACACAACTGGAAAGCTGTAAAAATAAAAATACAAGTGTTCCCATGCTGTTTCAAACTGCAGTAGTTCCGCAGTCACTTAATTCCCATGAAGGCAGAGTTATTGGATTTTCAGTACAGAAGCAGCGCTGGCAGTTTCTGATCTTTGAAGTTTATGGATGGGATTGAGCAGCAAGCAAATAAGAAATGCCTCATAAACTAAATTGGATTTCAGACTCATGAATGTGTGCAAACAAATTTCCCCCATCACAAATCCTGCCTGGTTTATGTCAGAATTCAGCTTTACTTGGCACACTCTGAGAAAAGTGAGCGTTATCCAGCTGAATAGCCTCTCTTCTGGCGATGACAAGGGTTTTTACAAGAGCAAAACTCTCAGTTTTGCACAGGCAGACTCAAACCAGCAACAGCCTCGGTGCATTTGCTGGGCTGTGAAGCTTCAGGGGCTCTGACCCTAAGGGTGCAGGGAATTTCTCTGGAGAGATAATCCAGCACCTGCCACCAGTCTGGTATAAGGTCATACAAAGAAACATCCTTACTTGTTTCACCGAATGCGCTGGGATCAGAAGAAAAGAAGAGGATGTCGATCAGATCAGAGGCTGGACCACCGTGATACTGTTTCAGTGCATTTAGAGCTCTGCCAAAGAAGAAAAGAGCAGGTTACACGCACAGCATGACCCCCTCCAGAGAACCCTGCGTGCCTCAGGACCCAGTGACCACAGGCTGTGGGCACAGAGTCAACTCTTCCAAAGCTGAACAATGTTACTCCACAACAGACTAACCCCATCTAACTGCTGCACCCCCCAGCCCTCACACACCCCCCCCTTACACTGGCCACGATCCCCTCCCCACTGTTACTCCAGTTTGGTACAGTCAGACCCTGGGCTGAGCCTTTTCACCACATTAATTCAGCAGAGAGCTGCTCACTCCTCCTGCCAGGATGGAAAAGGTCCTACGCAGAATCCAGTGAGTACCAGATGTGATACAACATGGGACCAAAATGTGTAACTGGGTGTGGGATGAGGGGTGGGGAGGGAGAAGGAGTGGGACCACGCCAGCCAGCAGGCAGATACATTTAGGCTGTTGTGATCCAATTGCATTATCTCAGTAGGGGTGACTGCGATAGCCAGCAGAAAAACAAAGGCACCTCTGAAAGGTGGCTACCTCCCCTCAGTGGAGCTACTATCGGAGTAGGAGGAATAAGATCGGAAAGAAGAGAAACCAAGCCTAGTGAAGTAAGCAGAGATCTGCCTCAGAAGAGCCTTTCCAGAACAACCATAGCAGTTTCCAGTGGGCTTTGGCCCCCTGAGCAGTGCCCCGGCGTGACCTGCAGCCCCGTGGCCCTTACTTTTTCAGCCTGTTGTAGGTGACATCGTTGGCTAGTTTCAGCAGGCGGTAGGCACTCTCACGGTCCAAGCTCAGCATGCCATCTCGAGATTCCTCAAAGGCAACAGTCACCGCTTTGGAGGTGACCCGTGTGACGATGCCGGTGGAGACCGCATCGCCCTGGCCAGCTGAGTCGTAAAGGCCCACAATGTCCCCTGCAAAGACAAGTTTGGAGAGAGAGCGTGAAGCGGGGCAAACTTTTTGAAAAGAAGCGCTTTTGGGGAGAGCAGCGATCAAGCTCAGACAGCAGGACCCGCTGCACTAACCACAGTTCCTGTGTTTCCTGCCCAGCTCAGCGCTTGTGTCAAGCCCAGAACGAAGGAGAACATCCTTCTCGTAGCTGACGGAGCACACAGCCAGAGGGAGCAAAAGGACAGTCAGCAAGTGAGGAGACACCCGACAGCAACTAACCAGCTGCCTTCAGACCCCCCACACCACAGATCTTGGGGTGGAGACCAGCAGTGCTCCCCAGAGACAGAGCTGCTCCGAAAGCCAACGTCCTGCCACAGTCAAAGCAGTAAGCCTGCAGACAGCGTCCTTGCCCTCCTCAGCTACCGGAACAGCTCAGGTCTCACACTCCTGGCCGTGTTTTCATGGAGGCAATGGCAGAGGGCGAGACAGGAGTGAAAAGGGCACTGGCTGGAGTGCTGCTCAGTCTGTATTCCTCTAGTACCTTTATTTCCAGTGGAACTCTGGGTGTGACAACAACGTACATAATTCTTCCTTGCCAAAGATGACAGTACAGGGAAGGGAGGAAATATGGCAGCTCAGGAAGGAAGAGGAAAATCCCCTTTCGGTTTTGTAATGAAAGGCAAAAGCTCCTCACCTACCACAAGACACAGGCATGAACACTGGCTTGTACAAAGAATGCCAGGAGACCCTCAATGACAAGAGAGCAGGGCTTTGCTCCTATGGACTCAGGAGGAGGAAAGGCAGCTCTTTAATCACCGGCACTATTTCCTGCTGCACCGTACGTGTCCCTAATGAGCCAAGGGGAAAAGAGGCCGGTTTTCTCTAGATTCATCTTGCAGCCATAACATTTTCTCCCTTCCTTTTTTGCCTCAGTTGTTCTGTCTGTACAGACATCACATTAGAAGGGTGTCAGGAAGAGGACACTGGTCATCTCTTCACCCACTGTAAAAAGCTTACCGGGCCCGAAGCTGTTGTAGGGCAGCTCAGCATCTGCGTCAGATTTTCTAGGCTGAAATGTCACGAGCAGCCGTCCGTAGAGGCCGGTTCTCTGGCTGGCAGCTTGGAGTTTCAGCAAGCAGACGCCTCTGCGCTGCAGCTCCTTCAGGGAGACACTCTCCTGCCACGCCCTGGAAACCACACACAGGTGTGAAAACCTTCAACACTTCAGACGAGAAAGCAGAAGGTGAAGGGGGAAGAGATGGAAAAGACGGGGAAGGACGATGGCAAGAGAGACAGCAGCGTGGTGAAGAGCTGGCTCCCGCGGGCTTGTTCTGGGACACGGTGACGCCCGCAGAGCCTGGAGGTGAGGTGACACCCGGGTATGTGGGCTTCCTCCCCCCGTCCTGGGCCCACAGGGGAGAGCAGGCCCCGAAGGGTGGGCTTCCCACTGGGCTGTGCTGGGTATACAGGAGTGGGCACAGCAGCATTGCCACAGCACGCTGCCCACAGGTGACAGGAGTGACTCAGCAGGGTTCCTAGAGGGGACAGGTGACAGCAGCCCTGTCCCGTGTCCAGGGGGTTTCCCACAGGGGACAGCAGCCCTGCCCAGGCCCAGGGGGGTTCCCACTGGTGACAGCAGCCCTGCCTGGGGCCCAGGGGGG